AAGAAAAATAAAAAGGAAATGTGCAATAGCAGGGGTAGCGATCTTTTTGTTAATCAAGCTTCCGCGAATTCAGATGCGTTTACAGGTGCCCACGCAGTACCGGCTGATGACGCACGTGATCCAGGCATGCTCAACTCACAGGTGCCGCCTGTTATTACACGTGATATGGAGATGCGCAACACGCAGGCTACGGTGGAAAGAGAGATATACAGGGTATGCGGATCGAAATTGATTGAGAGCACAGCACCCATGGGCGAAGTAGAGAGCAATCTAAATAGATTCCCCGACGATCAGGAGGGTAAGGTATCATTGTCCCTCCGGCTCCCCCCAGAGCAAACATTAACGAGAAAAAGTAGGAATCATATTAAAATATGGATGATCCTATCTGAATTAAAGATCCGTCCAATCAATGTCGTTATGTTAAATCACTTTGCGGCTGAAGCAGAATTTGAAAAGGGATCATCGGCTAATTTTGCGCTAGAACAAATAGAGAGACTTAAGACTAAAAAGTTAACTGCTAATATAGAAAAACACCAATTTTTTTGTAAAGGTGTTATAATGGATTGGCCTTCTGCGATCCCTGATCTGTGGGCAGCTATTAGCGATAAGACAAATATAGTTAGTTTGGAACGTATGTATAGACGTAAGTGGGACGCTACAAATAGGACTGCCTCTCTTGTAGAAACAGATAACATTATTATTACTTTTAGAGATAACAAATTGAGAGACCTTAAAATATTTAATAATATGGTTGGCTTGAGAGTACGAGCTTATATCACGCAGGTTAGACAGTGTTATAACTGTTTTAGATACGGACACACAAAGAACGCATGTAAGAGCGAGACGAAATGTATTATATGTGGTGACAAGGCCCACGGTCAATGCTCTAAATCGGTGAGGTGTTGTAATTGCGATGGTCCTCATAGATCCACGTTTAGAGGATGTCCTATTTTTGATAAAAATAAAAAAATCAATGTTGTGAAAGCGCAAAATAATATCTCATTTTACAGAGCACGAAAAATTGTTGAAGGCGGTGACGCTTCAGTGTTGTCCAGCCAAGATAGATACGTGAATCCGGGGGCGTGGCCCACTCTACCGGAGCCCAGAGGTGGCATGATGTACTCCGCAAAAACTAAATCTAATTCCCGGAACGAGGTAGAATATTCTAAATCAAAAAATGACTACAGGGATAAACATCCCCGTGATGAGACTCAGAAGGACAATAGGAGGATAGCTCCCTCCCGCTCTTTTTATAAACAATTTAACCTTCGAGAAGAGGAAATTAACCAGAACAGGAGAGGCTTGGCGCTGGGGGCTTGTCGCAGCGGTGCAACTGTGGAAAGTGATAGCAAGGATGCTTCCTCCTACGAGGGGAGGAAAGGCATGATGTTTTCTGCGGGGATTTCGAATGCCAGAGATATTGTCGAGAGAATCCTTTTATTGTTACAAAGTTGTCCACAGGTGAAAAGCCTTTTGATTGAGGCACTCAAGCGAATGGATGTACGTGGACTATTAGAAGGGAGTTCTCAGCGACTCAGAGAGACTGTCGAGATGGAATATGAAACTCAGTTGAACAACGAGGGGGAAACTTCGTTTTCCCATTTGACGGAATAATTCAGTTTATTGTTATGGAATTGCC